AGTGATACAAGTCTTTCTGTCAGGCCTTTTCAAATAGGTAGTGCTGGAGAAACACTGTTCAACATTGACCTAGAAGGCCCTAAGGAGCTTCATCTTGTCCCCCCCACCATGATGCTTATAAAACTGCTGGAGAAGGTCTCCAATATCTCCAATCCAGATATTCAATATAAGCAGAACTTCTCCAAGTAGAGAAGTACATCCAACTCTATTGGCAAGTGCAGAAGTTTTAAAAAATTCCTGTTTTGTCTTGCTGGTAACTTTATGTGTCAGGAATAAAAGAAAGAACTGAGAACCTAATTCTTGCCAACATACATGAAATGATTGAAGAAATGAAGGTGCATGGTGCCATTTGCAGAAAGTGACCATGTTGATATCATGATATCAAGATGAGAAAAAATAAGAGAAGAGCACACAATTTTTACTGGAAGGAAAAAATGAAAGATCTCTAAAAAGTGTTCTAAAAGGCTGAAAAGAAAAGAATAGAATGTGTAAGAAAGAAAAGAAAAGGCTTATATAATCAAAGAAGTCATGGCAGTGACTAGAAACCAGAATATTGTCAAAAATATTGAAAGTCCAAATAAGCTGAGGCTTGTGAGAAATGCCCCCAGACTCTGGGAAAAAAAACCAAAGCGTTTATATTGTGAAGAAAAGGAAATGAATGTGTAATGGATGGTGACAAGACAACAGAACGTCTGGAGGGTTTTAAGAAAAGACTGGACAGCCACCTATCTGAAATGGTATAGGGGGTCTTGCTTGAGCAGGGGGTTAGACTAGAAGACCTCCAAGGTCCCTTTCAGCTCTGTTCTGATAAGAGCATTAACATTAAAGTTACTGTGGAGCCCCATGAGGGTCCATTGGAACAAATCTGTTTGCAAGATGTCTTCCTTTAATATCTTCCAGGATTCATGTCTCATCTGACTTTATGGTTTTATGTCTGACCAGGCCACCAGACTGATGAATATGATTCAAATATGATCTCAGCCAAAACAAAAAGGACACTTCCTAATTTTATTCTTGTCTACAATTTCATTATCTAAATTCTGGCAATATTTTCCCAGATTCCCAGTCTAGACTCCTAGAGTCTATCCCTAAATTTACAAAGATTTCAAAGTATTCTTCTGGCTGTCCTAGTGTTCACAGACAATTGTTTTTCAATAAAGAGGGTGGAGGCTTTAGCCCAGGAAAAGTAACAATTATGGAACAATGAAAAGTATCCTGTCCACATTCTGAACAAACTATTTCTAATGTGACAACTAACACTACGTGAAGCACCATAGAGCTGGTTCAAGTATAGTGATCATCTTATGCTCTTAAGACCATAACACCCTCCATCATTGTTAATCACTCAGAAAGCTTCTGCTGTTGAATCTTATATTTAATAGCAATGTCTACTATTTACTTATATTTTATACATGCCATCTAAGTACACCATCATACCCCTGCATCCTAAACAACATAAGCAGAAGCAGCAGATAATGTAGTATTAATGCATTAAAACTATAAATAAGTCTTATTATTAAAAAAGGAATTCATGCACACTTAGCAAATAATAAAATATTTCTTGGTTTACATGCTTTGTGGTAAGAAAGGATAAAACACGTAAACTGATTCAGTGACCTTTTTCTGAACCTCAGCTATTAATCAGAATATAATAGGAACCAGAACAGCAGCTTATTTTCTGTAAGACGAAAACAACATTATCTTTTTTTTCAGATGGACTTACAGCATTTGCAGCAGACATATCACCCCCCTTTTTTCTCCCCTCTCTATTCAATTTTCCCCCATCAGAGCCAATCTAGGTGGGTTTCTTTGGCAATCTGGCTTGGCTATTATAATATGCACAATATCTTCAGGAAGAGATGGGGAAAAAAGGTGCGATGGTCTTTCAGGTAATCCAAGAAATAGTATTTTTCTTCAATTTTTTCAGCCAGTCTGCTCAAATATATGACCCACCCTAATGCAATTTAGGGCTGGTTCAGAGGAATCTGACATTTATTGAACACTTCATGTCTCTCAATATAAGCCCTCTAAGCATTATCTTCTGCTTATGAGTGCGGCTACAAATCAAAGGACATAGGTCAGGGGTGTCAAACTCTCATCATCATGGCATCTTCACATGATGTATCACAACTTTCCCCCCTTTGCTAAATCAGATGTGGGTGTGGCCAGCGTGTGATGCATCCAGCTCACAGGCCGTGAGTTTGACATCCCTGGCATAGGGGATGTCAGCCAAATCAAGAATACCAAACAAGAAATACAACCAAACAATCCAATTCTACTTCATTGTACCGCGACATTAACAGAACCCTGCATGTCTAAAAGTACAATTCTCCCACTGACACCTTTTCAGCCTGAAAATTTAGGGAGGATAACTCTGAGCCTCTTGCCCCACCCACTGTCCTGCTATGCGCTATGCTGTCTCTTATCTGACCATTTCCTAGGCAACATCTCTTTTTCTCACCTCTCAAGATCCTTCCAATATACTAGATCCATGATGGTGAACTTATGGTATGTGTGCCACAGGTGGCATGCAGAGCCATTTCTGAGTGCACGTAAGGTGTTGCCCTGTCAGTTCCAGTGTGCATGTGTGCGCTGGCCAGCTGATTTTCGGCCAGTCTGCTCAACTGCCTTGATTTTTGGCTGTTTTTCGCCCTCCGGAGGGAGAAAAATGGCCCAATGGGCAACCCGGAAGTCTGTTCCCAAACCTCCGGTTTGCATGTTGGGCCATTTTTCGCCCTTCCTAGGCTCCTAGAAAGCCTCTGGAGCCTGCAGAGGGTGAAAAACGGACCTATTGGGCCCACCAGAATTCAGAAAATGGTCCGTTTCCGGCCTCCATGGAAAGCTGTTTCCACCCTTCCCAGGCTCCAAGATGCTGTGCATGCATGCGCGGGGCAGTGGGGTGGTGGTGGTGCAACACATGCATGCGCAGGGAGCATGGCACGGGGGGCATTAAATTATGGGGGTATGCTTTTGGCACCCGAGGCAAAAAAGGTTTGCCATTGCTGTACTAGATGTTTGCTATTTCTGCAGTTTCTTTCAATGTATGGTGGTTTATAATAATTGATAGTAAAGAATAATAACCAGATATTTGAGTAGTAAAAGTAAAACATAGCTGACTTTACAAACAAAGGCGCAGCTTCAAAAAGCAGAACCCAGATTGGAAGACAATAGGGGTACTATCTGAAATATTCCACTGTAACATAGAACAATAATGGAAGTGGGGAAACTAGCAGATGGGGTGTTTTGTTAACTGCACGGAAGTTTTTTTTAAATACATGTGAAATCTCCAGTGATCTGTAAAATTAATTCATAAACTGTTACAAATATCAAGCAATGCCTATTTAGGCAAATGAAAATTATAAAGATAATTAAATTCACATCTCTAAAGTCAACTTCCATATCTAAAAATCTAAAATGGGATAGAATAGTTTAGTATAAGAAAAGATAGAAAGGCATATTGTGTTGAATGGAATCACAGTACAAGCAGAAAAAGGAATATTCTTAGAAATGTAAAGCCTGATGTTCCATTTATGAGTACTGTAGTGGAATATTGATTTTACTCCAAGCTCTTATTTCTCACATTTTATGGATTAGGATCCTTTGACACAATTAGGCACAATTGCATCCATTAGGCAAAGGACTGTGTGTGATTGAGAGAACAGAAATGGCATATAAATCAACAAACCAAATAGGAGAGTGCAAGAACATCATATTTCACTCATTCTCTTCTCTGAAAGATTTCTAAAGTGCATTATTTTTCATCAAACTGAGAACCCATTAAAAACAAGGCAGAATTTCTCTGCTTTATATTAGCTCATAACGTTCCTGGCAGAAAGCTATTTAGCTTCTTCTTGAACATATTTATAGCAGAGAAAACTTTCTAACTTCTACAACTGAATTACTTTTATTTGGAGGGGTTTTTTTTGTCTGATTTGCAACTGCCTCTATTTTCACTTATATTAAATAATCCAATATATATTGCTGCCCATTTGTCAAGAAAGTTTAGGCAGCAAACAAAATAAAAATAGAATTTCCTTAAAACAGTAACTGACTAAAATTGCATTAAAGCTCAATAAAATAAAGAACCACTAGATAAAGAACCACTGTCAACCTAGTCAGATGTGTCATGCGCAGGCCATGTAAAGGCAATAGCTCCATAAAAGCAAAAAACATCACGATATGTGAGGCAATTGAGTTTGACACCCGTGCACTAGACACATACATTTATGTTGGCGTTCCCATGCTAACGTCCAAACTCCCAATATTTGGAAGAAAGGCAAGATTTTTTGGCCTTGCAAAAGGCTAACAGAGTAGGAATTGTCCGTATTTTAGTGGGGAGACTTCTATAGGGTACAGAGAATAACAAAGGAGGCATGCTTCCAGGGACTCACCGGATGACATTGCTTTATCAATAGCACCTAGAATATGTTCACTCAGCCAGATCTGAAACTATCAGTCACAAGGCAGCTCACAACTGGTTCCGTGCCACGTAGGATTTTTAAAGTATCAACCAGCACCCTGAGTGCAGTTCTTATAAGAGCAATGTTACATGGGTGTACCATGGTGTGCTCAAAAGTGCATCTGCTGATGCATTCTGGACCAGAAGAAACATCCAATGCTCTTCAAGGACAGCCCTATAAAGGCACCCCAAATGTATGAGTGACTGTGAGCAGTGCATCGGACTCACAAAATGTATGAAAACTCTCCTCTAGGATCATACACACCTGTGTTGCCCTGATCATTAACTCACTCTTCCTTAAAATCAAGAAAGATCAAACTCCATTTCCCTTGGTCATATATAAAAGGAGCTGGATTTTAGGCTAATTTCCTTTTTAGCCAGCTACCTTTGTTGATTCAGAGTATAAGAGCTAAATACAATACACAGAGTAATTTCTTGTTATGGGACAGATATATATTCAGTACATACAACCTGGAATGCAACAAAGAATGTTGTCTATTAATCAAAAGAGTTGTACACTGACCCTGGTTTCTTTTCTTACCTTTTAGAGTTGCTTTCTTAAGTACCTTCATTGCATAGAGCTGCCCAGTATCAGAACCTTTGATTTTTCTCACTAGAAATACCTGTGGGGAGGAAAAATCCAAAGGACACTTTAATAAAGTACAGTTAAAATAATGATATTCGTTTCATTTGCTTAATGTAAAGTGAATCTGCTAGGTATATGATCAAGTAAGTATGCATTCTCTATTCTTCGATATTATTTATTTAGAAAATCTGTATGAGGCCCAATTCCTTAACAGTTCTTTGTGGCCTATAAAAAAATAAATAAACCCATCAGAACAGTATAATCTAAACAAGAAATACAAAACAAAGATAAAAAGCACCTGATGTCAAAATACTACTTCATAGAAAAAGTTGCCCTCACAATCCTTGAAAAAACTGCCAAATTCACAATTGATTTTAACAGTAAGCATACAAGTGCTCTTAAAATATGGGATGAAATAGAAGAAAGTCTTATAAGAAATTTAAGCCTACAATGAGTAAGACTTAAAAATCATGATTGGGCTCAGAAGAAAAACACACGGGATATGTGGGATTTTCAAAAGAGGCTCCACTTACTATTTGGATCATTTTTGCAGCTAGAAACAATTTTAAGGACTAATGCACTATAAGTAGAATCTTGGAGACTAATACTCAGAAAATAAATAAGGGTTGATTCAAAACTCAAAAGGTTCTTTAATATAAACAACTTTCTATATAGGTTTTGTCCTTCAGATATATATATATTTGCCTACACAGATACCGTGTTTTCCTGACACCCCCCCCCAAATAAGCACTGGGCCTTATTTTCAGGGAGGTCTTATTATTTTTGAGGTGCAGGAGGCAGCGAGCATGGTCACCTCATGGCTGCTGCTGTGTGGCAATATTTTGGGGGGAGGGCTTATTTTAGTGCATGCGCTCAAAAGTCCCATTGGGCTTGTTACCTGGGCAAGTCTTATGGAAACAGGGAAGTGAAATAAGGATTTTAGTGGCAAAAGGAAATTAAGGAGAAAAGGTTTATTTATTGATACTCCATATTTCTTAATTGTCCATCTCCCTCAGAGAGCAGCTGTAGGTAATGATCCTGATTTCCCCTCTCAAAATAATGGTTTTTATGTGAATAATAGAACCAAGAACAATAAGATATAAAATATGCCTTAGTCTAATTTTATGAAATTTGATATCCATTCTTAACTTCCAAATGACAGGAACAAAAACAAATGTACTGATTCCCCCATCCCTAAAGTAAAAATGCACATATGTATACCATCTAATATTCAGACAATTGTAAATTCCCAGGCATCAACAAATACCTCAAAACTGCAAAGTATATCTTCTTGACAAACACATTTAATATTTTGAAAGTTCCTTCTACCCAAAGCTGGCTTAGGGAAAGCCAACGTCTTCTTCAGTAACAGATTTCTCTTTAGCAATATCTGCCGAAAGAGGCACAACTGGGACTAACAAAGTTAGCTACATATTCTTTCAGTAAGTGCTCTTAGAGGGAAAGGTCTGAATTGGATTACATATTTTTTTAAAAATCACTGTTCACAGAAATTTACCTTGCTTGCTTTCAAGCATCCTAATTAGGAGGAACCCCTTTCCTTTGTTAGAATAATTTCCAACCTATTGTGTTCAGAAATCCAACTCACTGGTTTAAGACTGCAACTAGATTGCAATAGTTCAGAAGATAATAAAACAAATATTAAATAAACTTTGTCATATAAAGTTCTAAAGTGGTTCATTTTTGTTGCAAGAGTGGTCATCTTATTTTTAATAATTCCTCAAAGGTTGTTCAGTTTTTAAAATACCACTGACTAATATTTAAAGGCATTCAACCTTTAAGATTATCTAGGAAGTCTTCACAAATTAAAATATCTGCATTTTTTTTTTAAAGCAGCAAACCTTTGAAGAGTGAATTATACTACGTTCTTGAGTGGAAGAAGAAGAGTGGGAGAAAAAAAATCAATACGCAGCATTTGATTTTGCATAGCTTTGCCTTTCTATAACTATAGAAAGTAAAGGTAAAGGTTCCCCTATCACATATGTGCTAGTCGTTTCCGACTCTAGCAGGCGGTGCTCATCTCTGTTTCAAAGCCGAAGAGTCAGCGCTGTCTGAAGACGTCTCCGTGGTCATGTGGCCAGCATGACTAAACACCAAAGGCATATAGAACGCTGTTACCCTCCCACCAAAGGTGGTTCCTATATTTCAACTCGCATTTTTACATGCTTTCTAACTTCTAGGTTGGCAGAAGCTGGGACAAGTAACGGGAGCTCACCCCTTTACGCAGTGCTAGGAATTTGAACCGCCAAACTGCCAACCTTTCTGATCAACAAGCTTAGCGTCTTAGCAACTGAGCCATTACCCCCCTCAATTATAGAAAGCATAGCTGTAAATGTGACTTTCTATTTAATAGCTGTTCCCTGAGTAATATTGAGTAATATTGCATTTGATTGTATTTCTCTCAAAGCATGTGAGTCAAACACTAACTAATGTTTAAGAAGATAGGAAAATACTTATACCTATAAAAATATAACAAATGAAAATTAATACCTGCTCATTCCTACCAAAAGCTGTCAACTGCAAAATAATTTCTTACAATTCCATTAGCTGAAAAACAGATTGCCTTGAACAAAGGTGTATTTTTAAAATATACTAACTTGGCAGATGTGGAACACTGAAGTATTGAAAGGTTGTATGGATTCAGGCTAGATGAAGAGTACTTTCTCAATTTCTCCTCAAAGAGTATATTGGGTTTGAAAGGGAAATGGAAGGAGAATCAGATTTAGCTACAAATGACAGCTTTCATGAGTCTAATCAGTGCTTTCCTTCCAATTTTGTAAGTTGTATCTAATATAAATAGAAGAAGCCTTATCCAAAAATATCTTCCCTGCTTCCCTATTTCAAATGTCTATAGACCCTGAAAATGCTCTGTGGGGAATCAAAGTTCTCCTTAACAACTGGAGCTAAATTGAAAGTGTAGGCTAAGTGGGGGAAACGGTGGCATCTGGGACATCTTTATTTTGGTTCATGTAATCCACTGACAAAGTAAAACTATTGTTCTAAAGCTGAGGGTCTGAGTCAACGTGGAATAATAGAAGGTACCAGAAGAACTGGGTGTTTCCTTCATTCTCCATTGCTTTAAAGGCCCTATCCTTGAGAATATATTAGATCCTTGAAAAAAAAGTGTGACTGCTTTTTATGTTTATAGTAACATGAAAGAGGGTAAGGAAAGGATACCAGGTACAGAAGAAGAGACCAGGAGTCAGAAAAGAGTGGGGAGGGGAAGAAAGCTGAAAATATGAGTCAAAGAATGCATCTCTCTCTAATGAAGATATGTCTGAGATGAGTGAATGAATGTTGGTCTGATTATCCTAATATTATGAATGCAAAAAGGCTCCACAACAGCATCAACTTTCAGAATTCCAACCTAATCACACTGCATTCTGGGAACTGAACCACCAACTTTTCCACCAGATTGGAAAAAGCTAAATTACACATAAAGCATTACCTTTCCATAAGAGCCTTGTCCCAATACTTTCAGGAGCTCAAATTGAGAGGGATCTGCTTTTTCGAAACCTTCTTTGACATGGTGACTGATGTCTATCTCCTTTACGATGCTTTCTTCCTGTGAATGAAAAAAATAAACCAAGGCACAGTTCATAGTCTGTATAAAACTAATTATGTCAGTTAATTCCAACTGCTATTCTTCTATTCAATTTTTACTTCAAGGCTCAGCATTATACGTGTGTGAAACTATTAGTTCCATCCATCTTTGTGCACAAATATTTTCATTTCATATGTTAAACATATTGAACCTGACTATAATTTACTTTCATCTATGAAATATGTTGATTTATTACTAAATTAAAAGAAAAGTAAGCCTGTAAATAAAAACACAGCAATCAGTTCATAAAGCTGTAGGCCTGAATAGGCTATTCTATCACGAGTTTTGGATCTTTTTTTCAAAGTAGGGGAAAACAAAGGATGGATATTACTGTCATCAGATTCAGCGATTAATTAGTAGGTGCACCCTAGAAGCAATCATTTTGGGAGATTAAAAAAAATTTTTTGGGACTAAATTTCAGCTGATAAGTGCAGAATATTTAGTTCTCCTAGGCGCTGCTTGGAGTGTCCAAGCTCGGGTTAACTTCAGCTTGCTGCCCAAGGAACTGAGTTTAATTTTGACTGTAGCTCCGCCCCCTGGTTACCTCAGGGGCTCAGTTTCAAAAAATGAAGGAGAACAATAGTCCATACTCGAACTAGTCCAAGTCCAAGTCCAAGTCATGAAAGGTGCTAATAACACACCTCGCAGCCCCACCTTATGGGTGGGTTTGGACACTCCACAGTGCCTCGAGAACGACCATTCAGGTAAGCCAATGGTCTTTCTCCTAGGTGCTGCTTGGAGTGTCCAAGCTCGGGTTAACTTCAGCTTGCTGCCCAAGGAACTGAGTTTAATTTTGACTGTAGCTCCGCCCCCTGGTTACCTCAGGGGCTCAGTTTCAAAAAATGAAGGAGAACAATAGTCCATACTCGAACTAGTCCAAGTCCAATATTAAGACATGAAAGGTGCTAATAACACACCTCGCGGCCCCACCTTATGGGTGGGTTTGGACACTCCGCAGCGCCTCGAGAATGACCATTCAGGTAAGCCAATGGTTTTTCTCCT